CTTACATTAGGTACCATAGAGAACGCTAGAAAGCTTGCCTGTGACAAGATGGCCGCCGGTGATGATCTATGGGCTCCACTACCTGACAGTTGTGGGGTGCCTGTGTCACAATACCGTCCAATTTTAACTGCACCTTAGTTACCCCACACCTTATCTTTACTCCACCATACAACACTTCATGACATGCAAACCAATCCAACACAAACCAATACATTTACAGAGGCAGGCAGAGGGGTTGAAGGAGTGGGGGGGATTCTCATTGGCCTCGTGTCCTGCCCGTGGAGCCCCGGGACGTCGGGGGTGCCGCGGGGTTGGTGACGGCCTTGCTTGATCTGGGGTGGGCTGGTGTGGGGGCCCGCTCTGGACCTAGGGATATGGGGACTTGGGCTTCAGGCTTTTGCTCATTTCTGGGCGGATGGTGTGTCCCTGGGCCTGGGGGCCCGTTGTCTCCTCTCCTCGCCTGGGCCCTCTTCGGCAGGGGTGGGGCTCCCGCTGCTTCCCCCTGCTGGCTCTCTCACAGTGGGGGCATTCGGGAGTCTCTGGGGCACATGGCCGGTGTTGTCAGGGTAGGTTTTGGTGCTCCTCCTTGGGGGTGGTTGACTGGGGGGGCTGGGCCCCCGTCCGGAGATGAGATCGGCCTCGGGTTCACGAGGCTCGGGGGCTGCTGGCTGTGCCTGCACTCTGGGGAGGGATGCCTCTGGCTGGGCTGGAGGACTGTTGGCCTGGTTCTCCAGCGTTATCGCTCCCTGGCGGCATGGTGCAGCTTCCCCCGGGACATGCGGTCTGGGGTCTTTTGCGATTTGGGATTGTAGGGCGATTGTCGATGCATCTTGATGCATTGTGCTTTTTCCCTGTGCATGGTCTCTGGATAGCTGCTGGGAGTTTAGTTTGTGCATTGGAGTCTGGGGGAGGCATTTCCTTGTTGGCTTGGTGGGACCAGTTTGCGTTCCTGGTTTGCTTTGTTGTCAGATCCATGCTTCCCCATTTCTCTGTCGGCCAGTTGTTGTTGGTGGTGCGGGGCAGGGCTGGGACTTGGGCTGCTGGTGTTTCTCTCCGTTGGCTTTCTCTGTCGTGTACTGCCGCTCGCTCTTTCTCGTTTGCCCGACCTCGCACGCGGGATTAGCGGGGGGTCGGTCCGGGCGCTGCTCTTCCACTTCCTACATTCCGTCGGTATTGCATTGTTAACTGGCATTTGGATGGTTGTTTTTATCATTTGTTTTTAGTTTTATTTATTTATTTTTTGGGCCATCTGTTGGTTGGGTCAGGGTCGTGCATCTGGGAGTCTATTTTTTTATTTTTTTTATTTTTTATTTATTTTTCTTTCTCCCACTCCTATTGGCTACTGGGGTTCTTGCCTGCCTGTTGCTGTGGTAATTGTGGCACAGTCGTGGCGTCCCACTCTCACTAACAACTACATTCTCATACACACACACATACAGACACATTCACCCACACAAAACTTTCGCTTTCGTTAGTACAGTACCATAATTGTGGATATCTTTGGAGAGGATTCCCCGGCTTTTATTGGTTTGGTCGGTGCGGAAAGTGGCGGTACCGACCTGGAAGAAACTGCTGTCTCTCCAGAGATGGATGTCGACCACTCAAGCGAGAGTGTGAATTGTGAAGGTGTGTAGCCTATTTATTAGAGTAGTCTACAATAACAGTTTTAGTAGGTGTCAGATAACAGTAGGCCTATGACAGATTCTCTGTATTTTCAGACTCGATGGAGGCCCCATTCACTCCACAAAGTTCTCATGAAGGCAGCAGCAGTGCACCGACGGTGAAACAGAGGAGGAGGCTAGATGATCTGCAAAAGACACTTATTGAGAAAGAAATTGTTAGAGTGGAGGCTGAAACAAAGAAATTACAGACTGCTGAAAAAGCTGGAACTTGAAAAACAAAAAATATCGTTAGAAATACAGTTGCTCCAACAACAGATAAACAGGTCATTTTCGCCTGTTTCTGAGGAGGATGGGCGGTCTTTTGTAATTCTTGTGTGCAATGAATCAATGACAATTATCTGTAAATTTATAAAAAGTTTATTATTGACCTACTGGACTTTCTTTGTACCTTATTTTTATGGTTTACAACCTGCAGATAATTAGCAGAATTATGGCGTCATCAGCCAGTGTTTCAGTGGGTATCCACTGTAACCGAGAAGCAGCCCGTTTACTCTTCCAACCTCGAAATCCTGGTATAACGCACTCTCCCGGAGATTGCGTCACAAGCAATCTGCACATTAATTGAATGGTATCCCTTGCGGTTGACATACAGATACTCATGCTCAGATGGTGCAATACCAGGAATGCCAGAGGCCCGGCGGAAACGGTGTTTCATCACCGCAGACTCAGCCTCAGTGGGGAGGTGAGCAGATCAAAACATCTCTAAAAGCAGGTTATGACTGATGAGAGGCGACGGCTCAGTGCCAGTGACACTCTGCGGATGGCCCGACATGCGGTGGATTTGTGGACATTAATCATGTCTCCAACAGTGTTTTGAAACGCACCATTTGCATAAAAACGTTGCGCTATTAACAGCATTAATGCGGGTGTCAATGCGTTGTGGCAGCTCTTCAACAAGTTCATATATATCTTTCCGACAGAATCGAAACCTCTCAATCAGCTTCTCATAAGTGTAAATGTCCAATGGATTGCTTCTGTCCCTAATAACTCTCTCCCATCTAAAAGCCCGCTCATTGTAAAGTCTGTGTATAAGTCAAGTGGTTACTATAGAGATTTTGACTTTACGCCTGCTACTGACTAGGGGTAAGATTTACATCTGGTCTTAGCGAGAAGAGGACTTAAGCCTGGATGGTGCAACTGTCGTAACTATTTGGTCGGACTTGGAATGCTGAGTTAAGACCTACTTATCTTAAGATCAGGCGTAAGCCCTGTGGTGCAACCGGCTCCTCTGCCTTTGATCCCGTTAATAATTACTAGTAAGGCCACTAGACGTTGCCGCCTAACAATAAATGTAAATATGGGTTGTAATAAGCTGCTTGCACATTCGCAGGGAAATCCAAATAAACTCCTCCAGGAGCAGTTGCATAAAATAAAGCCACTATTTGTAGAACTTTTATGTGATTATTGCTTGATTATTTGTTCACACAAAAGAAACAATATAAGTGAAAATGAATGGAGTCTATGTTGCTTTTGTATCATTCATCTCATTGAGATGCAAGTGTCTTTTTTTCTTACTACCACTGAATGTGCCGAAGTCTTCACATTTACCACAGAGGGGTTAAAGAAAATACATTTGAAACTGATGTTATTGCAGACAGTGCACAATCTGAGAGAGCAGCGTCAGTAGCACGTATAAGGTCAGCTTTGCTAAGCCATTTGCCTGTGTAGCTAAGTCCCTTTATATCCTTTTTTGTCAGAATTTTCCTCCCTCCCTCCCTCCGTCTCTCCCTCTCCTTCTCTCTTTCCCTGCAGGGCTTATTTCAGGGATACCAGAGAGTTTTACAGGGCCAGTTGCTGCGAAAGCCTGCGGCTGGCTGCTATGAAAAAAAAAAAAATGCCTAGAGTGCAGCGGCTCTGTTAGTCTGAAACTTAAAAGGCTGCTTGGTTGCTGTAATACACTTATAGGATTTCCCTCAAGGATCCCATGAGTTGTTTGGGGGAAGATGTGACTCTATCAGAATTTGCAGACATCTCAATTAGTTGAGGAGGGGAAGGCCTCGCAGCTCTGGGATACCACAACTGCTCTTGAAGTTCAGAGCCGGTGGGCTGGTTTGTGTACAGGAAGTGGGGGATGAGGACATCCAGTCAACATAAAACAATTTTAGGAATAAATGTTAAGCTACCGGGTGGTCTACTGGCACCATGTTTTTTTTAGAAATCCAACCTGGGACCTCTATGTGATCCCAAACCTTTACCCAGTCCACCTGGCACTAACCTTTCCAATAATGGTCACATGGGAACATGGCACTCAGACCACTGACTTTCTTGAGGTTTCAACTTTTTGGGAAATTTTTAGCTTTCTTTCTGAGAGTTGAAGATGGATGGAAGCCTCATGTCTGTGTGTTCAGCATGGTACTGGAATCAGGACGTAGTTAGCTTAGCTTACATTTGCCTGGAATCTTCCAGCACCTCTAAAGCTCACTAATTAACATGCTGTATCTTGTCTAACCAAGAGTTGGACAAAGCAAACAATCAATAATAAAATTAAATAAAAAAATTAAATTAAATACAAGGAAAAGCAGCTAATCCTCCCAGAAGCTGGGACTGTGAAATGTTTGGCATTTTTGAACAGAAAATAATTGAAACGATAATTAAAACACTCTTTTAATTAAATTAAGAGTATTAATTTAATAAATTTTTTGTCAATCAACTAATCAATTCATTGACTAATTGTTTCACCTCTAAATGTGTTTGTAGTGTTTTTTTGAATAATAATCTATAACAAAGCATCATATTTAATGAACTCTTTAAGTGTATGTAATGTCTGAATTTGTAACTTGTAACTGTAGCTATCAAATTAATGCAGTGGAGTGAAAAGTACAATATTTCCCTCTGAAATGTAGTGGAACAGTGGCATGAAAACAAAAAACATAAGTAAAGTACAAATATTTAAACTTTGTACAAAGAGTAAATACACTTCCACCACACCACCATCATTTACAGAAACTTGTTAGGAGAGTGGTTTTATTAATGATCAGGAAAATGAAAATATTGCTGTAAAACAAAAATGTTAAAACACAAAACATCTCTAAAAGCAGGTTATGACTGACGTGACTGACGTGACTTATGTAAAGAACCTTACAGTCATATATGTCATTTTTTTGGATTCATTGACAATGAACCTTTTTAGTTGTATAGTCTGTAAAAAAAACTACTGAAGTGCATGGAAACATTTTTCTTCACTCTATGAGGAGCGGTTTAGTAAACTGTTTGAATAAAAACATGTTTTTCAGCCTGTAACTGCTGTATTTGAATGTGTCAGTAGGTTCTAAAAAGAATAGAACTGAACTCAGCAGTGAGTTCTACAAATTATGATGCCACTGGTGTCATGAGAGGGGTCAGTGTGGATGTTTGATGGATTGTGGTCATTTCACCATTAGCACTGAGAGAGACAAACACATAGTTATTGAGTTATTTGAAGGAGACAGTTCTGAATAAAAAAAAAACAAACATTCAAGCTTGAAGTTTCATTCTCAACCTTGGAAATCCTAGACTGAGAAGATCTGACACTGAAAAATGTCATCGTGGTCAAACACAGATACCTCTGGTGCATCAGGTAAGACACAATTTTACATGATGCTGAATATATCTCCTATGAAAACAACACCAACTAAGAGCTCTAAAGTGTCACAATCTGTACAAGCTATCTGTATAAGAGAGGATTCTTTAAAAGTTAATGTTAAGAATATACCATACTATACAATTCTCATCCTCTCTTACCAAACCTATTACATTTGTATTCTTATATAAATAAATTAATTAATTGAAAAGGTAGGCAAATCATCAGTATTTGGTACATTTTTCTCCCTCACATGGTCCTCAAATGACAAACAAACAGTGAAGGACATGATTCATGGTTCAGCTGTGTGTTCGTTCATGATGTGTGTCTTCACAGACTAAATCCCCTGACTTCATATATTTTCTCTCCATGTTCACCATCTCTCCCCACAGTCCCGCTGACAGCACCTGAGATCCAGGCAGGTCAAACTCTGTTTGGCAGCTCTTCTGGTTACTCCATTCTGGAGTTTATTGGTGAAGGCTGCTTTGGTAAAGTAGCCAAGTGCCAGAATCTGGCAACAAACGAGAGAGTTGCTGTTAAGATCCTCAAGAGTGACACCGATTTTATCCAGGACACTGAGAAAGAGGTAGATGTTGGACTCTTTTTGAGTCGTATCCCTTGCTTAGAAGTTGTCTGCTGGATCAGTGTATGTTAACTTATGACATGTCCTTTCTCCCCAGGTGTCCATGTTAGAAATCATCAGTGTCCTGAATCCAGACCACACTAATGTGGTAAAGTTCTTTGAGCGGTTTGAACACATGGGACAGACCTGTCTAGCATTTGAGATGCTGGACAGGAATCTCTATGAGCTGCTCCAAGAACGAGACTGGAAACCACTGTCTCTGAAAGAGATCCGACCGATCTCAAAACAGGTGTGTATTATTTTGATATGGAACCAATACACCTAATACACAGCAGCACATGGGAAACTAAATCCCAAATTTGCCCTTCTTGTTTTGTCCTTGCAGCTGTTGGTGGCCTTAGATGCCCTGAAGAGTCTCGGTATCCTGCATACAGATATCAAACCAGAAAACATTTTGTTTGTCAACAAGCAGGCCCAGCCTATGAGGGTAAAATTAATAGACTTTGGCGAAGCTATTCCAGCCACCAAAATCCAGCCTGGGATGGAGCTTCAGCCGGTCGGATACAGGTGGGTTCATCCTGCACATCTGTTTACGGAGCTTTTGTCGTTCTCCTTTTTTTTTGAAAACTGAATCAAGTTCCATAAAATAGGCATCATTTACAAGATTTAGATTTTATACAGATAAAAGAACATAAGAGAAGAAAAGGGTTAAATCAGAATCAGAATGAGCTTTATGCCAAGTAATGTTTTACACATACGAGGAATTTGGTGATAAACGTAGACAAACATACAGTTGACATAAATAAACGTAGAAATATATAAATATGGAATAGACAATGCAAGTTATATAAGAATAATAAAAAGAATAGAGAAAAATAATGCAACTATTTGCAGAGAAAGAACAACATCGCAGATATTTACATGTTCATTATTCTGGGTTTGTGTTGTGCAGACGTAACGAATCGCAACGCAACGGAAGAGAGTATTGTGTACATAAATATATAAATTGACAATATAAAATATACAACAACAAAGATTAACAATTAACAACAAAAATGTGCTATGTGCCATGTTTGTGCATGATATTCGATATCATGCACAAACATGGCACATAGCACATTTTTGTTGTTAATTGTTAATAGTATTTACATGTGCAGAGACATCTGTATTATATGCAAGGGGGGAGTGTCAGTGGGGGACCTGGGCCTTGTTGATGAGGCTAGCTGCAGACAGGAAGAAACTGTTTTTGTGGCGAGAGGTTTTGGTCCAGATGGACTGCAGTGTCTTGCCAGAGGTGAGAGTCTGAAACAGTTTCTGACCGGGATGGGAAGGGTCATCTTTCCTACTCGCCTCAGAGTCCTGGAGGCGTACAGGTCCTAAAGTGATGGAAGATTGCAGCCAATCACCTTCTCTGCAGAGTGAATGATACGCTGCAGCCTGCCCTAGTACCTGGCAGTGGCAGCAGCATACCAGATGGTGATGGAGGATGTGAGAACGGACTCAATGATGGCGGTGTAGAAGTGCATCATCATTGTCTTTGCCAGGCTGAACTTCTTCAGCTACCACAAGAAGTACATCGTCTGCTGGGCCTTCTTGGTGAGGGAGGTGATGTGTTGACTTGGGAGTCACACAGGATGATGTCGGAGGCTGGGGCTGTGCTCTTTCTAAAATCCACGACCATCTCCACTGTCTTCAGTGCGTTGAGCTCCAGACTGTTCTGGCTACACCAGGTCACCAGATGAATCTTCCACCTGTAGGCGGACTCATCCCCATCAGACATGAGCCCAATGAGGGTGGTGTCGTGCAAACTTCAGGAGCTTGACGGACTGGTGACTGGAGGTGCAGCTGTTGGTGTACAGGGAGAAGAGAAGGGGGGAAAGAATGCAGCCTTGAGGGGAACCGGTGCTGATGGTCCTGGAATCAGAGACATGTTTTCCCAGCTTCATGTGCTGCTTCCTGTCCGTCAGGAAGTCAGTGATCCACCTGCAGATGGAGTCAGGCACTTTCAGCTGAGAGAGCTTGTCCTGCATCAGATGATGGTGTTGAAAGCAGAGCTGAAATCCACAAACAGGATCCTGGCGTAGGTTCCTGGGGAGTCCAGGTGCTGGAGGATGTAGTGAAGGGCCATGTTTGCTGCATCATCTACAGATGTTGGCTCTGTAGGCAAACTGTAGGGGGTCCAGGATGTGATGGATTTAAGGTGGGACAATACGAGGTGTTCAAAGAACATCATTACCACTAAAGTCAGGGCAACGGGTCTGTAGTCATTTAGTCCTGTGGTCCTTGGTTTTTTGACGCCCTTTAATAAAGCCATTCTGTTCTTCAGAAATAATAATAGGTAAAAAAAATTTAGCCAGTACCTTTACATCAACATTTAGAAAGGACAGAGGTCTCTAAGAGCACAGGAGGTGGGAACCTTATCAGGCTTTAAGAGAAGAGATGCTTGAGTGAGTGTGGGAGGTAGCAAACCACTTTCCAAGGATTCATTATACATCTGCAAAAGTAAAGGTGCCAATTTATCACAGAATTTCTTTAAAAAAAACCCTACAGTAAATCCATCTGGACCAGGGGCTTTATTTGACTGCATTGCTTTGGTAGAAAGCAGTAATTCTTCCAGGGAAAGAGGAGCATCCAAATCTTTCAGATGTGATCTAGTGATCTTTCCCGCAATCACTAGATCAATAGTAGGATTTAAATTTTTATCTGTTGGAAAATCTGATTTGTACAAAGTAAGATGTATTAATTTCCATAGGTTCTGTGACAGTTATACTAGAATAATTCTTAATTTGGGGTAGGAGGCGTGAGGTGGATTGCCGTTTTAACTGGTGTGCCAATAACTGATTTGCTTTATCGCCGTGCTCATAAATAGTACAACGAGTTAGTAATTGCAAACTCTCCGCGCTTTTGGATGAAATTAGATTGAACTTTGTCTGGAGATCAAGACACAAGGGTTAGATGCACACACAAGGTTCAAGGCTACTAATAGCTGACAAAACAGCCTGTCATTGTGTTTTTTATTGGAGTAGGAAGAGTATGAGATAATCTGTCCCCTGAGAAATGCTTTCAGTGACTTCCAAAGCAGTGAATATGATGTAGCCTCATTCTGATTAAAAGAGCCAACATTAAGGAATTAAGTCTCCAAAGCGGTGGTTATATTTATGTATGGATAGTTGGACATCGAAAAATAATGGAGCATGATCAAAAACTAGAATGGCTGAATAATCAGTGGAAACAACACAATGATTCATAGGCTACTATTATCTATAAAAAAGTAATCAATTCTTGAGTACAACTGATAAACCTGGAAGAAAAATGAAAACCTTTTGACTGACGGATAACACAGTGCCTACAAGTGTCAACCAAACCACTCTGATGATTGGGACCTAGTGCAGGGACTAGATTGGTCCAACACTGGGTCGAACACACAACTCAGATCACCTCCAAAAATTAACAAATGCGTGAAACGGCCTCGCACTGGCCACAGGAGATCGCTGTTGGCATGATCCTGTTTAAATCAATCTAAAATTGAAACCGTAATAACTAGAGCATTCATTCTTTTTGCAGTAGAAAGCTAAGGCCTCTGTCATTCGCGCTTGGCAGATGAGTGCCGCCAAAGGAGCAGCTAAGCAGGTCAATAGGAATATACAAAAAGATTGAGAAAAACACAAAGATTCAGTAGTTTAGCATAGTTAGCATATTTTAGTATAATTTAGTTAATAGTTAACACAGAAGACTTAACTATAACATGCTGTAGTAGTAGTAGTAGTTGCAGGAATTATGGACAGGGGTACAACATTTTTCAATTGCAATTTCAAAGAAGTTCTTTGTCATTAGCCTTATTGTGACCTAGATGGAGGAATTTGCTAATTCAGTGTTTTAGACTCAACCAGGCCATGCGTGCAAAAATATTTAATTACTCAATATGACTATAAAGCACAAAAGGTCAATACAGTTTTTTAAATCTTTCAAATTAGACTGTGACAGTGATGTCCCTCCTTTTAACTTAAAACAAGACAAGAAGAGAAAAAAATGCCCTTCAATGCTTGAATGATTAGAGAAAAGTAAAATCAAACATTGAAGAAATGACTGCAAAGCATTAAATCATAAAATCGAATTATGTGTGAACAAATAAACGTCATCTATCAAATTCAGTCTTGAGGACTACATTAATCAAAGTATTGGTCAAATATATGTACAAAACTGAAATACTGTAAAGAGTATATGGCTGTGTCAGCTGAAATTATGATAATAATAATATAAACAGAGATTTACCACATGCATAGCTTATTGTATTGCAACTGTATTTGTTATATTTCAAATATAATAGAATATAATGCAGTAAAGCTCTCAGGCACTCTGTGTTGCTTTTAGATATGTTTCTCCTATAGATAAACCTTTACAAGGTTACAAGGTAGGTTATTTGTCATTATACAACATAAGGTTGTTGTAGAACAAAACAAAACTTAACAGATTAATATACTAATATTTGAATACATAAATGTGTTAAATGTGTATTCAAATATTTTCTCATGTCATATCATCTGAGTCAGTACACATGTATGATTTAGTCTTTCCTCCTCTTTTTTCTTTGCCCTTGTTTGGGGAAGTAACCTCTTTAAATATGACCTTTTCTCTCCTCAATGAGAAATGAATTAATTTTAATTCAGTTAGAAACTCTGACTTAAATAGCTTCTGTGTTTCAGCAGCTTTTCAGCTCATGATCAAAACATTCTGCTCATTCAGAATCTCTCTCACATAGGGAGAAATTCAGTTTGATCGAAAATCTGCAGCAGCCCCTAAAAACACGTCCTACTCCATTGGTTGCTCAGCAGTGCTCCCCATTTTTCTTAACATCCATGTTGTTCTCTTGGTTCTCAAAGCTTGCCAACAGATTTCTCATCTTTGGCTCTTGTCTTCCATCCTCAGGGCTCCAGAAATTGCCCTAGGCCTGCCCTTCACAGAGGCTATAGATGTTTGGGGAGTTGGCTGCATCCTGGCCTTCCTCTACCTTGCTGAAAACCTCTTCCCTGTCGACTGTGACTATCAGATGGTAGGTCAGCTTCCTCAGACAAATATTCAGAACCAAGTAAAGACTTTATGCAGAATGATGTGATTCTGTATATTTTGTTTGCAGATGAAGTGCATGGTTGAGGTTCTGGGTCAGCCAGAGGACCACCTGCTCTGTGCTGGCAAATATACCCGGTACTTCTTCAGTGAGGAGGAGGCTGCTGACGGTCCAACTTGGAGGCTTATGGTAGCAACCATTTTTTTCTTTGTTTGAGTTGGATAAATCATTTTTCATAATCCTTTAAAATGGTTCTCATATATAGGCTATTTTGTTCCTTTAGGCGCCTGAAGAATATACAGCTGCCAACTGCGTGAAACCAGAGGAGCGTAACAGCTTCATTGACCTGCCCAGCTCTCTGGATGACCTGGTGAATGTAGGTGCTCAGTACTGTGTTGTATGAGTGACGACTGAATCAGTACTAGTTACTCATATGTCTCTCAGACGTAGGAGGCGGCTGGATCAATTGACATGAATTTGTTTCCAAATCCAGATCTATCCAGAATGGGATGCTGCTGAATTTGAGGACAGGAGGGCTTTTGTGGAACTCATGAAACGGCTGATGCATCTTGACGGGGATCAGAGAATCTCTCCCCATCAAGCTCTGGAGCACCCGTTCGTCACAATGTCCCACCTGATCGAGCACTCTGACAGCACAGCCTAGTAAGTGATCGTGTGTCTGTTCACACTGGTAGTAGACAACACATCATGTTGGATTGACTGATGGCTTTTATGACTGACTGGTTGATTTACTAATTGATTGTCAAACTTTATCCAGTCTAACCGTCTCCGAAACAATGATGGATGTCTGCCCAATAGAGGACTCAGCAGACAGGGTTAACACCCCTGCAGCTTCCAAAACTGACAGAGAGTCAGCTGCTGGGTTCTACGTCAGAGGTCTACTCTCTGCTTCCAGTGACAATGCTCCTCCCATCAGGTCATTTGATGGAACCAAAGCCACTGTCTCGTATGACGATGGTCCCACCACAGGGTCATCTGATGGAGTTCCAGTCAATTACTCCTATGACGAAGATCAAGCTGCCTGGTCTTCTGAAGGAGGACTACCTCCTTGCTCCTATGAATATCCAGCTGCCTGGTCTTTTGATGGAGTACTGCCTTCCTACTCCTATGAATATCCAGCTGCCTGGTTTTCTGAAGGACTACCTCCTTGCTCCTATGAAGATCCTGCTGTCTGGTCTTCTGATGGAGTACTGTCTCCCTACTCCTATGAATATCCAGCTGCCTGGTTTTCTGAAGGACTACCTCCTTGCTCCTATGAAGATCCAACTGCCTGGTCTTCTGATGGAGTACTGCCTCCCTACTCCTATGAATATCCAACTGCCTGGTTTTCTGAAGGAGGACTATCTCCTTGCTCCTATGAAGATCCAGCTGTCTGGGCTTCTGATGGAGTACTGCCTCCCTACTCCTATGAATATCCAGCTGCCTGGTTTTCTGAAGGACTACCTCCTTGCTCCTATGAAGGTCCAGCTGCCTGGTCTTCTGATGGAGTACTGCCTCCCTACTCCTATGAATATCCAGCTGCCTGGTTTTCTGAAGGACTACCTCCTTGCTCCTATGAAGATCCAGCTGCCTGGTCTTCTGATGGAGTACTGCCTCCCTACACCTATAAATATCCAGCTGCCTGGTTTTCTGAAGGACTACCTCCTTGCTCCTATGAAGATCCAGCTGCCTGGTTTTCTGAAGGACTACCTCCTTGCTCCTATGAAGATCCGGCTGCCTGGTCTTCTGATGGAGTACTGCCTCCCTACACCTATAAATATCCAGCTGCCTGGTTTTCTGAAGGACTACCTCCTTGCTCCTATGAAGATCCAGCTGCCTGGTTTTCTGAAGGACTACCTCCTTGCTCCTATGAAGATCCGGCTGCCTTCTCTTATGATGGAGGACTGCCTCCCTGCTCCTATGAATATCCAGCTGCCTGGTTTTCTGAAGGACTACCTCCTTGCTCCTATGAAGATCCAGCTGCCTGGTCTTCTGATGGAGTACTGCCTCCCTACTCCTATGAATATCCAGCTGCCTGGTTTTCTGAAGGACTACCTCCTTGCTCCTATGAAGATCCAGCTGCCTGGTCTTCTGATGGAGTACTGCCTCCCTACACCTATAAATATCCAGCTGCCTGGTTTTCTGAAGGACTACCTCCTTGCTCCTATGAAGATCCGGCTGTCTTGTCTTATGATGGAGGACTGCCTCCTTGCTCCTATAAAGATCCTACTGACTGGTCTTCTGATGGAGGACTGCCTCCCTGCTCCTATGAATATCCAGCTGTCTGGTTTTCTGAAGGAGGACTGCCTCCCTGCTCCTATGAAAATCCTGCTGCCTGGTCTTCTGATGGAGTACTGCCTCCCTACTCCTATGAATATCCAGCTGCCTGGTCTTCTGATGGAGTACTGCCTCCATACTCCTATGAAGATCCAGCTGCCTTGTCTTATGATGGAGGACTGCCTCCTTGCTCCTATAAAGATCCTACTGAATGGTCTTCTGAAGGAGGACTACCTCCCTGCTCCTATGAAGATCTTGTTGCCTGGTCTTCTGATGGAGTACTGCCTCTCTACTCCTATGAAGATCCAGCTGCCAGGTCTTTTAATGAAGGACTTTCTCCCTGCTCCTATGAATATTCAGCTGCCTGGTTTTCTGATGGAGTACTTCCTTGCTCCTATGAAGATCCAGCTGCCTTGTCTTATGATGGAGGACTGCCTCCTTGCTCCTATAAAGATCCTACTGACTGGTCTTCTGATGGAGGACTGCCTCCCTGCTCCTATGAAGATCCGGCTGCCTTGTCTTATGATAGAGGACTGCCTCTTTGCTCCTATAAAGATCCTACTGCCTGGTCTTCTGAAGGAGGACTACCTCCCCACTCCTATGAAGATCTTGTTGACTGGTCTTCTGATGGAGTACTGCCTATCTACTCCTATGAAGATCCAGCTGCCTGGTCTTTTGATGAAGGACTACCTCCCTGCTCCTATGAAGATCCAGCTGCCTGGTCTTCTGATGAAGGACTACCTCCCTGCTCCTATGAAGATCTAGCTGCCTGGTTTTCTGATGGAGTACTGCCTGCCTGCTCCTATGAAGAACCTGCTACCTGGTCTTTTAATGGAGTACTGCCTCCCTGCTCCATTGAAGATCCAGCTGCCTGGTCTTCTGATGGAGTACTGCCTCCCTACTCATATGAAGATCCAGCTGCCTTGTCGTATGATGGAGGACTGCCTCCTTACTCCTATATAGATCCTGCTGCCTGGTCTTCTGATGGAGGACTGCCTCCCTGCTCCTATGAAGATCCGGCTGCCTTGTCTTATGATGGAGGACTGCCTCTTTGCTCCTATAAAGATCCTACTGCCTGGTCTTCTGAAGGAGGACTACCTCCCCACTCCTATGAAGATCTTGTTGCCTGGTCTTCTGATGGAGTACTGCCTATCTACTCCTATGAAGATCCAGCTGCCTGGTCTTTTGATGAAGGACTACCTCCCTGCTCCTATGAAGATCCAGCTGCCTGGTCTTCTGATGAAGGACTACCTCCCTGCTCCTATGAAGATCTAGCTGCCTGGTTTTCTGATGGAGTACTGCCTGCCTGCTCCTACGAAGAACCTGCTACCTGGTCTTTTAATGGAGTACTGCCTCCCTGCTCCATTGAAGATCCAGCTGCCTGGTCTTCTGATGGAGTACTGCCTCCCTACTCATATGAAGATCCAGCTGCCTTGTCGTATGATGGAGGACTGCCTCCTTACTCCTATATAGATCCTGCTGCCTGGTCTTCTGATGGAGGACTACCTCCCTACCACTATGAAGATCCAGCTGCCTGGTCTTTTTATGAAGGACTGCCTCCCTGCTCCTTTGAAGATCCTGCTGCCTGGTTTTCTGATGGGGCTATGTCTCCCTACCACTATGAAGATCCAGCTGCCTGGTCTTTTTATGAAGGACTACCTCCCTGCTCCTTTGAAGATCCTGCTGCCTGGTTTTCTGATGGGGCTATGTCTCCCTACTACTATGAAGATCCTACTGCCTGGTCTTCTAATACAGGACTGCCTTCTTGTTCCTATGAAGATCCAGCTGCCTGGTCTTTTGATGGACTACCCCTCTGCTCCTATGAAGATACAGCTGCTGGATTTTCTGATGAAGGACCACCTCCCTGCTCTTATGAAGATTCAGCTTCCAGGTCTTCTGATGAAGGACTAAATCCCTGCTCCTATGAAGATCCAGCTACCTGGTCTTCTGATGAAGGACTAAATCCCTACTCCTATAAAGATCCAGTCACTGGGTCTTCTGAAAGAGGACTTCATCCCACCTCATATGAAGATTTAGCCGCCTGGTCTCCTGATGGAAGACTACCTCCCTGCTCCTGTGAAGATCCAGCTGCCTGGTCTTCTGATACAGGACTGCCTTCTTGTTCCTATGAAGATCCAGCTGCCTGGTCTTTCGATGAAGGACTACCCCTCTGCTCCTATGAAAATCCAGCTGCTGGGTTTTCTGAGGGAGAACCACCTCCCTGCTCTCATGAAGATTCAGCTGCCAGGTCTTCTGATGAAGGACTAAATCCCTGCACCTATGAAAATACAGCTGCCTGGTCTTCTGATGAAGGACTAAATCCCTGCACCTATGAAAATACAGCTGCCTGGTCTTCTGATGAAGGACTGCCCCTCTGCTCCTATGAAAATCCAGCTGCTGGGTTTTCTGAAGGAGAACTACCTCCCTGCTCTCATGAAGATTCAGCTGCCAGGTCTTCTGATGAAGGACTAAATCCCTGCACCTATGAAAATCCAGCTGCCTGGTCTTCTGATGAAGGACCACCTCCCTGCTCCTATAAAGATCCAGTCACCGGGTCTTCTGAAGGAGGACTTCATCCCACCTCCTATGAAGATTCAGCTGCCTGGTCTTCTGATGGAGGACTACCTCCCTGCTCCTATGAAGATCCAGCTGCCTGGTTTTCTTATGAAGGACCACCTCCCTGCTCTTATGAAGTTTCAGCTGCCGGGTCTTCTGAAGGAGGACTTCATCCCACCTCCAATGAAGATTCAGCTGCCTTGTCTTCTGATGGAGGACTACCTCCCTGCTCCTATGAAGATCCGGCTGCTTGGTCTTCTGATGAAGGACCACCTCCCTGCTCTTATGAAGATTCAGCTTCCGGGTCTTCTGATGAAGGACTAAATAACTGCTCCTATGAAGAACCAGCCGTCTGGTCTTCTGATGAAGGACCACTTTCCTGCTCCTATAAAAATCCAGTCACCGGGTCTTCTGAAGGAGGACTTCATCCCACCTCCTATGAAGATTCAGCTGCCTGGTCTTCTGATGGAGGACTACCTCCCTGCTCTTATGAAGATCCAGCTGCCTGGTCTTCTGATGAAGGATCACCTCCCTGCTCCTATAAAGATCCAGTCACCGGGTCTTCTGATGGAGGACTTCATCCCACCTCATATGAAGATTCAGCTGCCTGGTCTTCTGATGGAGTACTACCTCCCTGCTCCTATGAAGATCCAGCTGACTGGTTTTCTTATGAAGGACCACCTCCCTGCTCTTATGAATTTTCAGCTGCCGGGTCTTCTGAAGGAGGACTTCATCCCACCTCCAATGAAGATTCAGCTGCCTTGTCTTCTGATGGAGGACTACCTCCCTGCTCCTATGAAGATCCGGCTGCTTGGTCTTCTGATGAAGGAC